GAGAGAAGAAGGAAGGGAAGGGGAGAGGAAGAGAGGGAGGGAGGAAGGAAGGGAAGGAGAGAGAAAGGGTGGGAGGGAGGAAGGAAGGGAAGGGGAAAGGAAGGGAGGGAGGAAGGGAGGGAGGGAGGAAGGGAAGGAGAGAAAGGGAGGGAGGGAGGAAGGGAAGGGGAGAGGAAGGGAGGGAGGGAGGAAGGGAAGGGGAGAGGAAGGGAGGGTAGGAGGAAGAGAAGGGGAGAGGAAGGGAGGGAGGAAGGGAGGAAGGGAAGGGGAGAGAAAGGGAGGGAGGAAGGGAAGGGGAGAGAAAGGGAGGGAGGAAGGGAAGGGGAGAGAAAGGGAGGGAGGAAGGGAAGGGGAGAAAAAGGGAGGGAGAGAGGGAGGAAGGGAAGGGGAGAGAAAGGGAGGGAGGAAGGAAGGGAGGGAGGGAGGAAGGGAAAAGGAGAGGAAGGGAAGGGGAGAGGAAGGGTGGGAGGGAGGAAGAAAGGAAAGGAGAGAGGAAGGGAAGGGGAGAGGAGAGGAAAGGAGGGAGGGAGGCATTTATTTGCAGGGTGCCAAGCAAGAAGGACCAGGTAGCAAAATGCTCAAATCCTGGCCTCACCGATGGGTTGCAGGCAAAAGTTTTCAAAGGCAGATGTAAATTTCAGAAAAGCAGAAGCTACAGGCAAAATTATAAACCAATATATGAAGGTTACACATTGGTTTAGGCCTAAAAGGTGCGGTATCTTGAAGCGAGGACTGAATGCTTATGGCCCCTCTAGTGGTCATGGGTAGACTCAAAGATTTTCTGATTTGAAATTGTTAAGGAAGAGAAGCTTTCTTTAAAACCTTGGGGTCAGCAGAGGAAAATGTTAACTGTCTCAGGGGTGTGATTCCCTCTACCCCCCTCAGAAAGAAATTTAGACCAAAGAACAGTGGTCAGAATTCCATCTTCAGTTCCCCCTTACCCCAGGTCTTCAGTGGAGGTTCCAGTTTCTGAAACAAAACACGGACATATGGTAAGATGTTATCTTTAGTTTCTGCAGGGAAAGCAAACATCTCTGGAACTCTAACTTTCTTGGCGTATTGTTTTAGGCTACTATTACCTTTTTTCTTTCTTTCTTTTAAGGATAGAGTTTTGCTCTTGTTGCCCAGGCTGGAGTGCAATGGTGTGATATTGGCTCACTGCAACCTCTGCCTCTGGATTTAAGAAATTCTCCTGCCTCAGCCTCCCAAATAGCTGGGATGACAGGTATGCACCACCATACCTGGATAATTTTGTATTTTTAGTAGGGACAGGGTTTCACCATGTTGGCCAGGCTGGTCTCGAACTCGTGACCTCAGGTGATCCCCCTGCCTTGGCCTCCCGTAATGCTGAGATTGATGACAGGTGTGAGTCACTGTGCCCAGCCCTACTCTTACCTTTTGTTTTAACAATTGACTTATTTACATCTTGGGCTAGCTAGATGCCTGGAATTTCTCTTGAAAAAACCAAAATTTTCCTTAATTTCCATGCTATGGGGTCCATAGGCCCCTAAAAAAGAGGTCCCTGATCCCTCTCACTTCTCAGCTGGCAGACAGCCTCTTGCCAACCTGTAGGAATTAGAGATGTTGGCCCTTCCTCCACTGTCCCCAGGCAGGTGATGACCTTGGTGGCCAGGATGAACTCTTAGGATCGGGGGTGTGTTGGAGCGTTCTTGACCCCGGGAAAGCTGCAGGGTGACACCTTCAATTTTCTCTGCAGTGCCGAGGAACCGGCAATTGTATTTAGCTCTTGTTTGTCCTCTCTGCGCGCTAAGTGATTGGTGACACATTGGGTCCCTGATTGTTTCCGAAGGGCTCTTTTACGAGATCTCCAATAAAGTTCTAAGCGGATCATGCCTGTTCGGGGAAAGATAACACCAGCGTGAGGCTCAGGAGTTTCAGCTGGACGAGCATTTAAGGAAGGAGGTGAAGTCAGCGTTTGGAGACAATGACTTAGCTGGCTGGATATGTCACAGTAATAATGAATAATAAATGAGCAGGAAGAGGCCGTAATTCACAGAGCGGGAGAGGAGACGAGGAACTTTATGATCTTGTAGTGCCTGGGGAAAGAGCATCTCAGACATGCCTTGGTCTTGTGAAAAGAAACCTCTGGAAGACACCTCTTCCGAAAAAAAGCCTATTATTGGGAAGAGGGTCCACGTTTCCGAGAGACAAAGGATTTATGGCTGTAACAGAAACTCTATGCAACCCTACCTCCATCCCTTCCCTTGCACCCAGCAAGATCTTCCCAGCCAGAATTAGGGAAGTTTTGGAGACAGGCCATTGCCTCACCCTCTCAAAGGGAGGTAGGAGGCGGGACTTGACTCCAGAGATGGGGCTTGGACACCCAATAAACTGAGGACTAGTTAAAACAGGGATGGGGACCGGACCCCTTGGCTCACACCTGTAATCCCACACTTTGGAAGGCTGAGGCAGGTGGATCACCAGAGGTCAGGGGTTCGAGACCAGCCTGGCCAACATGGTGAAAGCCCATCTCTACTTAAAATACAAAAATTAGCCAGGCATGGTGGTCCATGCCTGTAATCCCAGCACTTTGGGAGGCTGAGGTGGGTAGGTGAGGTGGCTCACACCTATAATCCCAGCACTTTGGGAGGCTGAGGTGGGTAGATCACTTGAGGTCAGGAGTTGAGACCAGCCTGGCCAACATGGTGAAATCTCATTGCTATCAAAAAATACAAAAGTTAGCCAGGCATGGTGGGGCATGCCTGTAATCTCAGCTACTTGGGAGGCTACTGAGAAGAACTGCTTGAACCCGGGAGGCAGAGGTTGCAGTGAGCCGAGATTGCACCACTGCTCTCCAGCCTCGACAAAGAAGTGAGACCCTGTCTCAAAAAAAATTTTTTTTTCATAAACTGCTCCCTGAATCTACATGTAATTAGAAGTAGGTATGAATGTGACTGCAAGACTGTCCTGAGCTGCTGCTCTGCCTATGGGGCAGCCCTGCTCACAGGAGCTGTCACGGAACTGTAACCCTGCAGCCTCAATAAAGCTCTTTTCTTCCACCCTACCACTGGCTTGCCCTTGAATTCTCCTTTTTTTTTTTTTGTACAATTTCCATTTTATTTTTCTCCAGAGTATAGTCTGCAGCCTTTGAGGACCCTGCTCCTTACGTGGGCTTTGGTGGGGGTCGGGGGCAGCAGTCACAGGTCTAAATTGGGGTGAAGGTGTTCGGTCCTTGTGGGCTTCACGAGATTGATTCCTCATGACTTTGCTGTGAATTGCACAACTCACACCATCATGTAGCTTCTGGCTTCAGATGCAGCTTGGGAAGCACATAGGCATCAAGGATGCTTGCTTCAGAAATGTCCCTGATGGCTGCTGCGGCCTCCACTGTGTTTTGAATTATGATTTTTTTTTTCTTTTTGAGATGGAGTCTTGCTCTGTCACTCAGGCTGGAGTGCAATGGTGTGATCTCACCTCATTGCAACCTCCACCTCATGGGTTCAAGCGATTCTCCTGCCTCAGCCTCCTGAGTAGCTGGAATTGCAGGTGCCTGCCACCACAGCCAGTTTATTTTTGTAGTTTTTTTTTAAATTATTTTTTTTCTCTACTTCTTAGAAAAATTACACTCAAAGCCAGACTAAAGTTTTTGTAGTTTTTAGTAGAGCTGGGGTTTCACCTTGTTGGTCAGGCTAGTCTTGAACTCCTGACCTCAGGTGATTCACGCGCCTTGGCCTCCCAAAGTGCTGGGATTACAGGCATGAGCCACCATGCCCCGCCTGAATAACGAATTTCTTAATGACCTTGTCCTTGGGCATGTGTCGGGCACAGTTCTTGCAGCAAATAGACCACACATGGTCGTGGCCCTTTTCTTTGCCATCTTGGAGGCCCAGACCGGGGAGAGTTGCCCTTGAATTCTTTCCAGCATGAAGCCAAGAACCCTCACAGACTAAGTCCCAACTTGCAGCCTGCCCACCCTGCATCCAAAGGGTGTCCTTCCAAACCTCTTCCCTGCAGATAGGGATCAGGCCCTGTGATTCACGGGTGTGATGGGCCATTGCAAGGGAGAAAACAGCTCTTAGCTGGAAAATGGGGTTTTATGAGTTTCACAAGCGTAGAGAGCTTGCTGCTTTTATTAGGGTACAAGGGTTGCCTCCTCCACATCCATTTAGAGCACCTTCTGGAAAAGACAAGGGTCAGAAATAAATGGGCCTGAGGTCTGTGGATAGATGCTGACCTTTAGTCACTTATTCATGGTCTCCTGGGAAGCAGTGAGCAGCACAGCCTGTGTGAGAAGATGCCAAGGGACCGTCTGCAACCTCACCCATCTCCTTGACCATTCCTGCCTACAAAACATTGTCTCCCATTTTATTATTTTATTTTATTTATTTTGAAACAGGGCCTCACTCTGTCACTCACGCTGGAGTACAGTGGCGCAATCTGAGCTCACTGCAGCCTCAACCTCCTGGGCTCAAGTGATCCTCCAGCCTCAGCCTCCTGAGTAGTTGGGACTACAGGTGCACACTACCATGTCTGGACGATTTCTTTATTTTTTGTAGAGATGGGGGTTTTGCCATGTTGCCCAGGCTAGTCTCGATCTATGGATCTCAAGGGATCCTCCTGCCTTGGCCTCTCAAAGTTCTGGGATCACAGGTGTGTGCCTGGCCCCATTTTTTTTCTTAGTTATTTTTATTTCTGTTTGTGTTGAGATGGAGCATTGCTCTGTCACCCAGGCTGGAGTGCAGTGGTGCAATCTCAGCTCACTACAATCTCTGCCTCCCAGGTTCAAGCAATTCTTCTGCCTCAGCCTCCTGAGTAGCTGGGACTACAGGCATGTACCACTATGCCCGGCTAATTTTTTGTATTTTTAGTAGAGATGGGATTTCACTATGGGAAACACTGTTAGCCAGGATGGTCTCCATCTCCTGACCTTGTGATCTGCCTGCCTTTGCCTCCCAAAGTGCTGGGATTACAGGTGTGAGCCACTGCGCCCAGCTCTTATTTTTATTTCTTTAGTGACAGGGTCTCCCTCTCTCACCTAGGCTTCTGTGCGGTGGTATGATTATAGCTCACTGCAGCCTCAAACTCCTGGCCTCAAGTGATCCTCCCACCTTGGCCTCCCGAAGTGCTGGGACTCCAGGCATGAGCTACTGCACCTGGCTCCAGAATTTCTCAATCAGCAATCTGCACTTGCTGAACCTGCTCCTTCCCACGCGTGTTTGCTCCCCCACGCCCTGTCTCTGCTGAAATTGCCCACAACCAAGTCACCACCGAGCTCTGGGTGAGTATACCCAATGGGTGTGTATTAGTCAGGGTTCTCTAGAGGGACAGAACTAATAGGATATATAAGTTAATTCTCTTTTACTCACACAATCACAAGGCCCCACAATAGGCCATCTGCAAGCTGAGGAGCAAGGAAGTCAGTCAGACTCCCAAAACTGAAGAACTTGGAGTCTTTTTTTTTTTTTTTTTTTTTTGACGGGGTTTCATTCTTTCCCCCAGGCTGGAGTGCAATGGCGCAATCTGGGCTCACTGCAACCCCACCCACTGGGTTCATGTGATTCTCTTGCCTGAGCCACCCAAGTAGCTGGGATTATAGGGGCCTGCCACCACTCCCAGCTAACTTTTGTATCTTTAGTAGAGACAGGGTTCTGCCACATTGGCTGGGCTGGTCTCAAACTCCTGCCCTTGGGTGATCTACTCACTTTGACCTCCCAAGGTGCTGGGATGACAGACGTGAGCCACCGCGCCTGGCCCCACTTTTTTTCTTTCTTGGCTTCTGTGACGTGGCCTTCCTCTAGCTTTGTGATCTTGTGTCCGGGTCTTAATTTATAAAGGGTGATGACACAGAGGAGTCAGTGCTGTTGAAGAAAAAGCTTAATGTTGGTCAGGCATGGTGGCACATGCCTGTAATTCCAGCACTTTGGAAGGCTGAGGTGGGGGGGATCACTCAGGGCCAGGAGTTCAAGGCCAGCCTGGGCAATGTAGGGAGACCCCAATCTCTACAAGAAATTAAAACATTAGCCAGATGTGTTGGTGCACACTTGTTGCCCCAGTTATCGGGAGGCTGAGGTGGGAGGATTAGTTGAGCCCTGGAGGTCAAGGCTGCAGTGAGCTGTGATGGCGCCACTGCATTTCAGCTCTGGGTGAAAGAGAGAGACCCTGTCTCCAAAATATAGGCAAGAGAAAGCTTCATAGCATTCACAGTTCCCCTGGAAGTCAGAGGCATGACCCTCAGGCAGGCCTGCATGGGGGAAGTGCCCACATCAGTCAGGAGATAGAGGATTGTGGGGACAGCCCAGGCAAAGGCTTTCATTGTGTTTCCTGTGGGGAAGGCAGCACGAGTGGTAGAAACAGCTTAGGACCAGCTAGCTTGAATAAAGCCAGCAGGTTCTGGGTTATAGCAATTCTGGGAAGTAGAAAAGCTCCTTTTTAGAGTTTCCTTTCTTGTTAGAGAATAAGCGTGCTAATAACTTTGTTAGGCCCTACACTATGTATGTAACTGTGAGACATGCCATGCTTAGAGGCACGCAGTACATTCTATGTCCTTGTACTTTAACCAAGATATCTGTGCTGGATGTACTCACAGGCATGTCCCAGCTCTCCATTGCTTTTACCTGTTTAGAAAAGTTCTCAATTGTTAGCCAATCGGTTTTAGTTTAGATTGTGAGGTCTGGCTCCAGCCAATGGAGATCAGACACATCAGTAAGGATGACCCCAAATGCATAAGGGATAAATTTGGGTGTTTTCCTTTGTTCATTGTATTCTCATGGCATGATAGCTAGTGAGGGTACCCTTGCTGGAATCCAGGAAGTAAAAACTGTGTTGATGAAAGATTCTTTGCCTCAGTGCTAATTTTTTTTTGTGGCACCAAACATCTATTTCTTTCTTTTTTTTTTTTTTTTGAGATGGAGTTTCACTTTTGTTACTCAGGCTGGAGTGCAATGGCATGATCTCGGCTCACTGCCACCTCCACTTCCTGGGTTCAGGCAATTCTCCTGCCTCAGCCTCCTGAGTAGCTGGGATTACAGGCATGCGACACCATGCCCAGCTAATTTTTTGTATTTTTAGTAGAGACGGGGTTTCACCATGTTGACCAGGATGGTCTTGATCTCTTGACCTCGTGATCCACTCACCTCAGCCTCCCAAAGTGCCAAGCATCTATTTCTAACAGGAACTGTCCCTGGTTGCCTGGTACCTGGCTCTGGGTGATTTAGGCCGGGAAAATACTGTCTTGGTGTATGAAGATCACAGGAGGTGGTTGGGAGTATGGACTTTGGATTGGTTGGTGGGTTTGTGGCATCAGAAAAATCAACACTTTCTTCTCTTACCCAGTCAATGCTCAACACGGGTAGTGTCAGATCCCGCAGGCTGAAGGCTCTGTCTCACAACTGCCCCACCTCCCCACCACTTCAGATGCCAATCCCAAACTCCAGACTCTTATTTGTGTTTCTGACTGGTCAGCTATAAATCAGGGTTCCCACAACCCCCTCCTCACATTCCATCAATTTGCCAGAGTGGCTCAAAGGACTCAGGGAAACCCTTTCCTTTTCTTTACGTATTTATTTAAAGGATACTGCCAAGGACACAATGAGCAGAAGAGATGCATAGAGTGAGGTTTGGAAGGGTCTTGGGTGCAGGGGCTCCTGTCCCCATGGAGTTGGGGTGTGTTACCCTCCAGCTACATGGACGTGACTGTCAATTGGAAGCTCTCTAAACCCCATAGTTCAGGGATTTTGATGGGGACTTCATCACATAGGCGTGATGGATTATTCCCCCGATCTCCAGCCCCTCTCCCCTTCCAAGAGTCTCCTCATTAGAACAAAAGACATTCCTGTCACCCAGGACTTTTTGACGGTTTTAAGGGCTATGTGGCAGGAACTGGGTCAAAGACTAAATATTAGAACCAAAAATGTTCTTGGCATCCTCCTAGCTCAGGAAATTACAAGGGTTTTAGGAGCTGTGTGCTAGGAACTGTGGTAAGAAATCAAACATACTGTCCCGGCACAGTGTCTCATGCCTGTAATCCCAGTGCTTTGCGAGCCTGAGGTGGGAGGATCACTTGAGACCAGGAGTTTGAGATCAGCCTGGGCAGCATAGCAAGACCCTGTTTGTAAAAAGAAAGAAAAAAGAAAAAAAAAAAGACATAGGAAAAGAAGGCAAACATACATATTTTATTATGTCATACTGTCACAGATCATAATATATTTTCACGTGCCGGTGAAACTAGATTGCAGGGGAGATATAAACAGCATCGGCTCTTAGTTCCACCCTAAGATGAATGAAGGCCAAATAGGCAAATACAGAGTCTAAGAACAAACAGAACAGTTCCCTGCAACCCTTTGACCTCTCTCTGCTTCCTTTTTGTTTTTTATTTTGAGACAGTGCCTCACTCTGTTGTCTGGCCTGGAGTGCAGTGGTGTGATCATAGCTCACTGCAGCCTCCACTTCCCAGGCTCAAGCAATCCTCCAGCCTTAGCCTCCCAGGCACACACCACCATGTCCAGCTTTTTTTTTTTCCTTGAGATGGAGTCTCGCTCTCTCACCAAGGCTGGAGTGCAGTGGTGTGATCTCTGCTCACTGCAACCTCTGCCACCTGGGTTCAAGCAATTCTCCTGCCTTAGCCTCCCAAGTAGCTGGGATTACAGGCATCTGCTATCATGTCTGGCTAATTTTTGTATTTTTGTAGAGACAGGGTATCACTATGTTAGCCAGGCTGGTCCTGAACTCCTGTGATCCGCCCACGTTGGCCTCCCAAACTGCTAAGATTACAGGTGTGAGCCACTATGCCCAGCCATGCCCAACTTAAAAAAATTTTTTTTTTTACTGAGGCAGGCGGATTACCTGAGGTCAGGAGTTCAAGACAAGCCTGGCCAACATGGCAAAACCGCATCTCTACTAAAGAAATACAAAAATAGCTGGGCGTGATGGTGGGGGCCTATAATCCCAGCGACTCGGGAGGCTAAGATTGGAGAATTGCATGAACCAGGGAGGCAGAGGTTGTAGTGAGCCAGGACTGTGCCATTGCACTCCAGCCTGAGAGTGAAACTTGGTCTAAAAAAAAACTTTTTTTTAGTAGAGACAAGGTCTTCCTGTGTTACACAGACTGAGGTGCAATCTCACAACTAGTGCTCACTGCAGCCTTGAACTCCTGAGCTCAAGCTGTCCTCCCACCTTGGCCTCCAAAGTGCTGGGGCTACAGGCGTGAGCCATTATGCCTGACTCTTCTGCATCCCTCCTGAAGTCTCTAATTGTTGACTTGTCCTGCAGCTGGGTCCTCTAGAGATTCCCAACCCCTGGGCCATCAACTGGTACCAGTTTATGGCCTGTTAGGAACCAGGCTGCACAGCAGGAAGGGAACAGTGGTGGGTGAGCAAGCATTACTGCCTGAGCTCTGCCTCCTGGCAGATCAGCAGCAGCATGACATTCTCATAGGAGCATGAACCGCATTGTGAATTGCACATGGAAGGAATCTAGGTCATATGCTTCTTATGAGAATCTAATGCCTGATAATCTGAGGTGGAACAGCTTCATCCTGAAACCATCACCCACCCCCGCCAAACTGGTCCATGGAAAAATTTGTCCATGGACAAAACCAGTCCCTGGTACCAAGAATATTGGGGATATTCTTCTAGTTATTCTTCTTGGGGAAGGTCTCCTAGAGCCCTGGATTTAAATACGATTCTATGCTAAGACTCCAGGACACTTGGTGTCCTCTGGGGATGCAGAGGAAAGGCCATGTGAGGATGCAGCTAGAAGGCAGCCGTCCGCAAGCCAGAGAGTGAGCCCTCTCCGGGGATCAACCCTGACTGCACCTTGATCTGGACGTCCAGCCTGCAGAACTGTGAGAAAATGAATTGCTGCTGCTTAACCACCCAATTTATGCTATGGCAGCCTTAGCCAAGTCATACAGGAAGGAAGGTTGCCATTAAGGAGTGTGGTGTTAAGTCAGTTACCTCTGTGGGCAATGAAGGTTGGCCTACTGCAGAACTCTCTGGAACATGGCATGAATGCTTCAGAGTTACCCACCCAAGGTACCCAAGCTCTCCATGTAATTACAATGCCCCTGCCCCAGCCCAGCCACCCACAGGGAGAGGTCACAGGGCTGGGAGCAGGAAACTTCTGAAAGGCAGGGGCCTTGGTCCTGATCCTGGGTCAGCCAGTCACATGCTGCTGTCTTGGCAGGTCCTTTTTCTTGTGAGGCCTTAGTTTCCCCATTTCTTCTTTGTTCATTCTTGAGTTCCAGGCTGCTATGTCAAGTAAGAACTCAATTAAGGGCCA